CGGGCTCCAGCTGCGCTGGGGAAGCGCCCGCCGGGGGCGCAGGGTCTGGGGGCTGCCCGGCAAACCCTGAAGCTGGTAGTGCTCGGGCAGCCCTTTCCCCGTGGCTGGGAGTGGGAGGGAGGAGAGGGCGGAGTTAGGGCGGGACTAGGGGTGGGGAAATGGGCAGGGCCAGGGCCCGTGGAGGGTCCTCCTTTTTTATTTATTAGATATGGTAACCCTATAAGTTAAATGGAAAGCGTCATCCAACATTATACAAAGCTTAAAAATACAGTTGTCAGGAAATGTTAGCATATGTCAGTCTCTGTGCTTATGCATGATCATACCTTTGTATATATTGTAAAGAGATGGGATCAACCCACAGAATTCAGAGCCAGACCAGAATCTGAACTGCCCCAAAGCTTTATTGTTAATAAAACACCAACCATGTGCTTAGAGCTGAACAAAGCTATCAAGAAACATTAGCCCTGCGACCAGTCTAGGCACAGACTAGACAGTTCACACACACACAGGATATTTAGGGTGGGATTTTCAAAGGTGATCAGTGTTAGCTTAACTCTGCTCCCATTGAAGTCCATGGATGTAAAGTTAGGCCAGTGCTGAGAAATTTTGAAAATCCTACTGTAAGAGATGGCAAGAACTTGAGGTGGTGATAGGGGCTTGCAAGAGTCGTGTTTGGTAAAGGCCTTGTAGGACATGTTCTTTGAAGATGAAGGAGGAAAGGAGTTTTCTAGATGCAGGAGAAGAAGTTTGTTCTAAGCAAACTGAAAGGAATCTGATTGGCTAATGGGAAATCACCATTACAGTTATATAGGAAATTTAACCAGAGTACCTAAATAATAAATACATTATACTGTTGCCTAAGCAGCATTGTAGGCATATTTGAGAAAACACTTAAATTATAACTCCCATTACAAAAGAAACTAACAGTTTCCTCCTCCCTCACCCCACCCGGTGCTTTTCTCCTCCCCCACCCAAGTGAGGGTGGTGGAGAGTGAGTGACGGAGAGAGGGTGGGATGAAGTGAGCGTGGCAGGGCTTTGGGGAAGGGGCAGGACTTCAGGGGATGGGTGGGGAAGATCCTGAGTTGCCCTTAGATTCAAAAAGTGATCTTGGGCGTAAAAAGGTTGGAGACCACTGTTCTAGAACTTGTAGCTGCACAAAGCACACAAAATCCATTGTCACCTGCAATGTTTCATTACAGAGACACAATTTAAGATTATACTTTTGTCTGAAACTTATGTACGTGCTACTGTTACAGGTTATATGAAGCACAAGAATAATAACTATTTTGAAAGTTGTGATGGATATTTAATTGCCTGTGGTTTGAAAATTCCAGTTTGGTTCCTCAACACACTTATTTTATGTTTCAGGAACTAATTGGACTCAACACATTTTAAATGACTTGATAAATGCACTACCAAATAATAAGGAAGTATCACAATTAGAACATATCCATGTGCTTGAATTTGCAGCTTCAGAAAAATTTCAGGTCAGCATGGACTAACTCGTGAAACTTACTTTTAGCATACAATATTTTGAATGTCTTTATTTTACTATAGCTCATATAAGCATAAAACAATTTTCAGATAGTTTATAAACTTCTGCATCAGAAAATTTGATTTTAATCTATTTTAATTACCTTTTCTGTCTGAAATTGTATTCTAAAGTATTGAAACGTAAATGAACAAGTGTGATTTGAAAGTAAATTAACTTTTGTAAACAAAAAGGAAAAAAAGTTCATTTAACCCTAACATTTACCCCTGTAAATGTTGTTACTCATGTACTGGAATTTCAGAGTCTGTTGTTCTTGTGAGTAAATTTTGAGTGCTAAAAGTTTTTTTTTTTAAAAGTTCCTTCCTTCTTTAAAAAAAAGTTAATGAAATCATTTTCTGGTAAACTGAAAAATCATAAATTTTAAAACCAGAAGGCACCATTGTGATAATCTAGTCTGACCTCCTGTGTAACACAGGCCATAGAACTTCCCCAAAATCATTCCCAGAGCAGATCTTTTCGAAAAACATCCTATCTTGATTTTAAAACTGTCAGTGATGGAGAATCCACCATGACCCTTCATAAATTGTTCCAGTGGTTAATTACTCTCACCATTAAAAATGTACACCTTATTTTGAGTAATAAATGTCACTTCAATGACATTATGAATGATAAGAAGTAAGAAGAGAGACTACAATTTAACAATTAATTTATATATATATATTCCACACACACACACACACAGTAACTCTCACTTAAT